ACACAGAGAGAGAACAGTACAACAGACTAGCAGTTGTAGAAGACACACAGAGAGAGAACAGTACAGCAGACTAGCAGTTGTAGAAGACACAGAGAGAGAACAGTACAACAGACTAGCAGTTGTAGAAGACACACAGAGAGAGAACAGTACAGCAGACTAGCAGTTGTAGAAGACACAGAGAGAGAACAGTACAACAGACTAGCAGTTGTAGAAGACACAGGGGAGAGAGAACAGTACAGCAGACTAGCAGTTGTAGAAGACACACAGAGAGAGAACAACAGACTAGCAGTTGTAGAAGACACACAGAGAGAGAACAACAGACTAGCAGTTGTAGAAGACACAACGATTCCCATCAGTTTGGTACATGACAATACACACAGTAGAGGAACTTAGAGCCTCACAGTACATGAAAATACACACAGTAGAGGAACTTAGAGCCTCACAGTACATGACAATACACACAGTAGAGGAACTTACAGTACATGACAATACACACAGTAGAGGAACTTAGAGCTTCACAGTAATGTATTAAATAGCTGTGCTAGAGCCTCACAGTAATGTATTAAATAGCTGTGCTAGAGCCTCACAGTAATGTATTAAATAGCTGTGCTAGAGCCTCACAATAATGTATTAAATAGCTGTGCTAGAGCCTCACAGTAATGTATTAAATAGCTGTGCTAGAGCCTCACAGTAATGTATTAAATAGCTGTGCTAGAGCCTCACAGTAATATATTAAATAGCTGTGCTAGAGCCTCACAATAATGTATTAAATAGCTGTGCTAGAGCCTCACAGTAATGTATGAAATAGCTGTGCTAGAGCCTCACAGTAATGTATGAAATAGCTGTGCTAGAGCCTCACAGTAATGTATTAAATAGCTGTGCTAGAGCCTCACAGTAATGTATTAAATAGCTGTGCTAGAGCCTCACAGTAATGTATTAAATAGCTGTGCTAGAGCCTCACAGTAATGTATTAAATAGTTGTGCTAGACCCTCACAGTAATGTATTAAATAGCTGTGCTAGAGCCTCACAGTAATGTATTAGATAGCTGTGCTAGAGCCTCACAGTAATGTATTAAATAGCTGTGCTAGACCCTCACAGTAATGTATTAAATAGCTGTGCTAGAGCCTCACAGTAATGTATTAAGTAGCTGTGCCAGAGCCTCACAGTAATGTATTAAATAGCTGTGCACCCCAGGTGAAAAATTGAGCAGGGAAAAATAACTCTGTCCAGAGCCTGAAAAAAAATCGTGGATGGAATCAGTTAATCTGCCGCTGCGATCTCACGGCTGTTCCCGATAGGACGCGCTGAGGGAACCGTGGGGTGATCAACTGGGGCGGTCGTGCAGAAAACGTGCCTGGTTGAGAAAGACATTTCATTTGTTGGAGGCATTGGGAGAGGGAGGAAAGGAGGAAGGGAGGGAGGGAGGGAGGGAGGGGAGAGGAAAGAAGAAACATTTATTATGGATTTAGCATGTTACCGGTGGGGTATATTGTATAATATTATATAGGTGGTGTTGTAGTTTTGTTGTTGTCGATGGTGTTGTTGCGGTTGTTGTTGTTGTTGCTGTTGTTGTTGTTGTTATTATTGCTTATGGGGATTATGCTACTGCTGCTGTTCTTGCTGTTGCTGCTCCAGCTGATGTAGATGATGATGGTGGTGATGATGGTGATGATGGTGGTGATGATGATGTCTTTCGTGATATTGACGCTATGCTCTTGTTGTTGTTGTTGCTGTTGTTGCTTCAGTTGATGGTGGTAACAGAGGAAGAGGTTGCGATTGTAAATGGGCTGATTTATCAATGTCACGCTCATAACTGTGCCGGAACAACATAGGGGGACCTGTTGCTATTTCTTTCCTCATCCTTACTATCGTCATTTTTCCTCTACTTCTTTTGTATGTTTGTCACTCTCTTGTGACCTGCTATTTCCGGGGTGCCTTGATAGTCGACGCAGACTTTGTGCTGTTGAAGCTAGAGAGGTGAGCAGAGTAAGTCTGATTCCCTGTAAAGACTTCTCT